AGTCAGATAAAAAAATTAAGAGAAGTTGATTTAATTATTTGGGATGAGGCTTTAATGATTCCAAAAAGAGAATTGGAAATAGTATACAGAACGTTAAGCGACTACGAAAAAAAAAAAAAAAAGAAAAAAAAAAATAAACAGAAGGACAGGAATGACAAATTACGTTGGCCATCCTCGCTTTGTGGGCATAAGCTTTCTCTCGCGAGTGAAAAGCAGTTCTCGGCGGAGGCGCGGATGCGGGGAGGGGGTCTACGTCAAGTGGCCGGCTCATGTGCGCCCAAGAGATCCAGGATGACTCGGCGAGATTTATACCAACTCACGGGGAACGCGGTGCACGTATACTCGGATTTATATGTGTATATAACGGGGCGATGGAGGGGTCACTGCAGGTGTTGATTTGAGGTGGCACCGCGCGGGAGGGCCAAGGGAGGGTATTTTCCTTCTTTTTTTTTTTTTCCTTCACTTCCAAACCCTAACCGCGCCGTCGATGATGATAACAATTATGGACGCGTGGGAGAGAAAAAAAAAAGTCACGCTATCGCTGGCTGGTGGATAATATAGCTGTGCGAGAGTCCGTTGGCGTAGGTGACTCGGGCATTTTAACTGTTCAGGCGTGGGTAAGAACAAGAGAAAAAAAGGGATAGCCGGCTTTCAACTATCGTTGCCATATCCCAAACTAGGCGTGTAACCTTTCGACACTTTGAAAATGTTTCGAGTATAATTTGAGTATAACTGGTAGGGGGCATTGCGATAGATATAACTGTACGCAAAGTTAATTGCACTTTACAGTAAGACGTGTACGTACTTGAGTATATTTCGTTGTGAAAAACCGATACAAAGACTCGTGTTGAAAGGTTATCAATGGTGGTCAGATGTAATATGTACGAGCCAACGCCGGTATTACCACAAACGTTATTACGCGAAGAAAATGACTATCGATTGATTAGCGTAGGTAATTATCATGTCCCCTTTTTTTTCGTTTCGCATAATCCTCACATTTCACACTTTGCGTAACGTATAGGTATCCCCGTCTAAGCAACCAATTTAAATGTAAAGGCAAGCCAATTTTAACAACCCACGGCGCGTCGAACAATGGAATCTCAACGGCGACTTTTCCAGCGCCACTCGGATTATGTAACGCGCCGGCTTCCTGCAGTCTGAGCGCGAGGGAGAAAATTAATTTTTTTTTTCCCCTCCTTCCCTGGGGCCATTATTTTCGAGCCTCGCGCGCGCAAAAAACCGATTGCATTCTCACGACGCTCGTTCGAGGGGAGGGGAAAAAAACAAGGCACCACGAGCACGAGGAAGAAAGACGTCGATGTTGTGCGCGATTCAAACGAGCCGGATCGAATGGCAGGCTACTTGGCGCACTCGGGCCCTCCGATTCGTCTTTGAAACAGAAGGAGAGAGTTTAGAGTATACAAGAGAAGAGAGGAAGGAAAAAAAAAAAAAAAAAAGGAAAGAAAAGTGCGGTTGGAGACGAGATTGAAAGAGTAGCGGCCGGTGGCAACTATGCAAAGGAACAGGGGGAAAGGTGGCGTAAAACGATATTGCGCGCATAGGTGTTTCTACATCGGCGTCTGTCTCGGTGTCGCGTTTCGCGGCTACACACCGGTCCTCATTGTGCGTTGGCTCGGCGGAGAGCCACTGTGTGTACACATACCTATACAGTTGTTCTCGTTGCGTTGCAGGGGACTGCAAAAGAATTCCTTTTTTTTTTTTTTTTTTCTTTCCCTCGAGACTCGCGACGGGCATCAGATACGAGCTGCGCGTGCACGTGATATTGATTATGCCATCAAAAGGTACAGCCTGTCAGGCTCCATGTACACACGCATAGGTATATACATGGGTGTGAGTACGTGCTAGCGAGGCGCGAGAAAACTCGCGAAAGTGAGATATCCGCCGCTCCGATATCGCGTGAGAAATCCTAATGCTCCGCGGCGTAAGGTTCGTTCGTCCACGATGATGGGCGCTCCCCGGTTTTGTTGTAGTTGGTAATTTCTTCCCCCCCTTTTTTTTTAGCCCGTCGTTGTCGTTGCTGCTGAACTTTTACCACGTACCACCCGAAAGTGCATTTCTTTCGGGCCCTACAATCGACGCGATCGTTACTGCTTTTCACCCCACCCCCCCCTTCCTTTTTTCTTCTTCCTCCAGCGTCGTAATTCACGTTTTAACTACTCTATTCGCAAGCTAATTTAATAAGCTAATTATGTACATTATATATTATTACGCGTGTACGAGCGAAGTAATAATAATAATAAAAAAATCCTAATCTCAATATCGCAATATTTTTATCCTCGCGTGTACTGTGGCATGTATACACGTAATAAAACAAGCATTATGTAAATAATGAAAAGGAAGCTCCAAGAGCAAAGGAGAGAGGGCACAAACGCGCTAAAAAAATAAAAAAAAATAAAAATACGAGTGCTAATTACCAGCGTTACCGTGCGTTACATGTACATACACTACGAGAAGATTGGCCGCAAAAACGAAATGAATAAATAGCTAGTACAGACACATGCACTTTCGGTGAAACATCTGCGCGGGCTGTGACAATACGAAAAAAGAAACAGTCGGCAAAACCGCTCGACAAATTTCCCGGCACATGCGAACATCCAATGAAACAAAAACGCCCCTTATAAGGTACGTAATTATTATAATACACCAACTTCTAAGCGTTTCGGTACAATAAAATACCGCTTCTCCTCCTCGGTCGCTAATGTCTTTCAACCCCATCGTTGCGCGGATAGAGAGGGACGAGGAGGAGTGGCAACTGCAGGTGCACGACGGATAAGCCGAGCTACTGCCGTGAGTTTGCTTCGCTGATCATTTAGCGAACGTTGTACCAACAACTTTGGCGCGGCGGAGCGATTTAATCGCGCATAATTTAGTGGACACCTCGAGATCGGCAATGCGCTACTTGTACACGTTTTATTTGTGCGTAACGAGATTATACATATACATGTGTACACTCGCACACATTTCTTTCTTTTTCCCTCTTGAAACGACCCGTTATCGGGAGCCACGTATAGGTACTTACAGTGGGTTGTTACATGTATATATTATATTGGTACAAGGAGTGTATATATACGGAACAGTGGTGTTTTTAAGGCTGAAACTTACCGGTCAAAGTCCGTTAGCCGCGAGGAGTCCCGAAAACCTTTGGCGAACGGGTTGCTGTCGATTTTCAACTTCGTTATCTGAAACATTGATTCGACACAATGGCATTTTAATGGCTTCCTTCGACCGACTAGCTTTCGAGATCCATCATCTCGAAATTATGAATATTAATGACTCGAAGAGCTGCCCGATCATACAATCGAGATAATACGTCATATCTCTCGTGTCTTGTGACGTATATGGGTATGTGTAACTTGTTGAAAATTTAACGAAACGCTCGAATCGAATGGAATATAGTAACGGTGTAGTAACAACGTTGATGATGATGATAATAATAATAATAATAATAATAATAATAATAAAAATATGTAGGTACAACACTGACCAGCTGGTTTTGGTAAGCGGTGACGGCGGTGAAAATGGCCTCGGGAAATATGAAGGTCTTGTGCTCCTCCTTCTCGAGATCGGTAATCGGGGCGTTTCCGTTGTTTCTGCACCTAACCAAGTGTATCCTCGGCTGGTAACGATGCATCGAATTAAGTATAATCTGCAAAAATACAGAAACGAGACGACCAAGTGATTATTACATCCGAATATCGGAGCTGAGAACAAAGAAGAAAGAAAAAAAAGAAAAAAAAAAAAAAAAAAAAAAAAATATGCATGTTCGCTCTAGGACGCGTGCAGCGAGTGTATATGCATTAATAATATACGTATATGATAGGTACAACACTGACCAGCTGGTTTTGGTAAGCGGTGACGGCGGTGAAAATGGCCTCGGGAAATATGAAGGTCTTGTGCTCCTCCTTCTCGAGATCGGTAATCGGGGCGTTTCCGTTGTTTCTGCACCTAACCAAGTGTATCCTCGGCTGGTAACGATGCATCGAATTAAGTATAATCTGCAAAAATACAGAAACGAGACGACCAAGTGATTATTACATCCGAATATCGGAGCTGAGAACAAAGAAGAAAGAAAAAAAAAAAAAAAACAATCTAAATCGACGCGAGTTCCAGGAAAGAGCGTCCTCGCATCATCATCGATTTACATGAGAATTTCGTTGCGTCGCTTTCTCGTTATTTTACCTATATATACACCCAAGTTAATATGTGTATGTGTGCTTCCGGGATTCGACAGTAATGTGCAACGAGAGCAGCAAAATACGAGCATATACGAGCTTGCCGTTTTATTTGTACTCTTGGTACGTTCGTCGACGCGCCGAGTTTGTAAATTGACGTGTAATAATCGCGGGAAAATGAAACGAGGCGACTTATCGAGAAATCCTCGTTTCTTCCCTTCCACCTCGGTTGTTTTAATGACAAATACGTTCAACTCGAGTGATGCGAATTTCAGGAATCTCAACGAGGTCTGCTGATATTATATTATTTTTTTAACGCGCGAACCCCATGATTTTGTGTATATACACAATTTTAATGACGGAGCATAAAAACGAGGACTCGGTGTCTTTCTCGGCGTCGTTTTTATTGGTAAGTGACATCGCAATTAAATTCGATGTAATGAAAACAATAAATAAAATAATCGGCACGTATACGTATCGCTTCCACGTAAACTCGTCACGTGTTATTCAAACAAAATGGTTTCTTCTTTTTTTTTGTCTCGTAAAATTAAAATTATTTAAAATACAAAACAACGGCGATGGGACCGGCCGTAAAAAAGTTCGATGGTACTGGTATGGCGCAACAACAACCGATCCCGGTACACTATCTTCGGAGGTGCGAACGAGGTATGAGAGATCTTCCATTACACTCGACGACGACGACTGGTCGGTGATACCGCTCTTATTTCTGGTTTATTTTCACACCAATGGCACACGAAGAGAGTACTATACAGATATGCACTAACGGAGAAGGGACAAAAAAAAAGATTGGCACCTATTTACCTATATACCTCGCTTGTAAGTCTGGCGACTCTCCCATTCGAGTTTCATGGTAATAAGTGCCAGCGCGCACCGCAAAGACCGAATCATTCGGTGTATATATATCGCGTGTGCAGGATAACTCTCTCCTTATTACAACGATAATTGGGTTGCAGCCGCTTTTCAGACTCGAGGAAATTTATTTTTTTCCCCCCCGGGGAAATTCCGAAGAGGCGACGAAGAGCGTAATTACACGTGTTTATACCGAAGGCGGAGGAAGAGAGATAAGCTGGTTTCTCCCTCTTTTCGCGCGAGCGATACTGCTATCGCGTCGATTTGTTCAGATGAGAAAAAGATAGGAATAAAAAAAAGGGAAAATAGCACGGGTTATTGCGCTTCGCTATCCCCGACGATTTCTCGCGTTGATTTTTATCCGAGTGTATACGATAAAATGCATAGAGATACAGAACTTGAGACCCGCAACTATAATGACCACGTGTAGAACAGTTTTTACAATTTTTCTCTCATCTAAATGTAATGTGATCCATTTGTTTTGTCAATATGACAATACTTGAAGTATATGGACATTCTTTATCGTAAATAATTTTAAAAAGCATTAATATATATATATATATTTTAAACCACTTTTTTTTGGTAAGAGCAATCCTACAGGTGCAACTGCTCGATGCAGTATGAAAATTCATACTAAGTGCGGAAAGCCCAATTGCTCCATTTTCAACGTGTCAGCGAAACAACGAGTAATCGATGCGGGTTCCATCGCTAATGGTTCTCTCAATGTGCGAACGAAAAAAAAAGGGGTGGCGGACGAGTATATAGTATACGTAATAGCCAAGGAAGAGAAAAGAGAAAAAGAAGGAGGAGGTGGAACACATCATAAAATCATTTTGGACAGAAATCGTCGGTATTTCACCTCCTCCTCTCTTTTGCTCTCTTAATAATTTCGTAATAACACCTTCCTGTCCGCGGCGTAACTCCTCGACGACTCTCGCTCGCGCCTTTAAATAATCCTCCCGGCCGGTCGTTCGCGCGCGCGCAACCGCTTACGGGCTATAATTAGAAAATTTCGGGTTGCGCTCTCTCGGGCAAAATCGCTAAACCGTTTCTTCTCTCCCCCGGACCCCGTACACCTCTCGCGCAGGTACAACACTTTTCGCACGAAATGCACGCCGCATGCGTTTTTAAAGAACTGCTTCCTCGACGAAATTAAAAGGAGAAAAAATAAATTATACTTTGCACGCGAGAAAGGGAGCAGAGTATACACGGTAAGAAATCGCTCCTTTCCACGCGATATGATGTGTGCACTCGTCGGCGATGCATTGCGTACATTATAATATATACGTATGCGTATGTACAAGCAGCAGCTCGATTCGTTTGTTCCGTATATTCATGTCGTGGTGTTTTATATACATAAATACACACACCTACTTTTAATAAAAAAAAAAAAAAAAAAAAATATGCATGTTCGCTCTAGGACGCGTGCAGCGAGTGTATATGCATTAATAATATACGTATATGATATACAAGCGTGTGCAGGTGCCTCCGGATCGTCACGAAGGAACAAGAGAGAGAAAGAGCATCAGCCAGCCGGCTTTGAAGATCTATGATAAACCTGTCCGTAGGTACATGTACCCTATAGCGCGGATAACTCATTCCCGCCTTCCTCTCTCTCTCTCTCTCTCTCTCTTTGTCTCTAAAAATACCTACGACGCAAAGAGGAGCCTCTCGTATACAAGTATTATTCTTCGGTGTGGAATGTTTTGTATGATTTTCACCTTGTGAAAATTCATGTGTGGTTTCCCCGGTAGACCGACCGAGAGCAGATCTCTCCGTTCCCCTCGTCGTCTCCTCTTTTGCTTTTTGTACCCACTTAGCCACCGATGATGTGACCTTTTTTTCCTCTCCCTCCACGAGACTCGTGTAGTATACAGATGGAACCAGATACAGAATATGCGATGGGACCGCTCGATTATTCACTAATCGACCGACGACTCCGTAAATGTATATGTATATATACAGTCCCCGGAAGCTGCACCGAAAGCCCTCGCGATTTGCTGGCTTTTCGATATACCCACATTGTATCGCACACGCGGGCAATATAAACGAACGGTATACATGAACTACCGATTAAGTATATGTGTGCATTTATCGTCGCGCTTCGAGGAATAAGAAAAAACGAAAGAAACTCGTGTTGCTTCACGAGCAAGAGAAGCAATTAGACCGCGCGCGTCCAAGTACCATATTATACGTGTACAAGGATAAAATTGTAACTCATTTTTTCTGTTTCTTTTTTTTTTTTTTCGTTTTTTTTTTCCCCTGCGAAACACACGCCGAGTGATAAACTGATAGCTCGAAGGAATATAGCCATATTATATACAGGTACGTACAGGGTAAAAAAAAAAAAAGGTAAACGTCTGACCGACCGATGTACCCGTTAAACATACACTTGTCGCGCGCGCTTCGAATGCCACAATTATACGCTAATCGCCGCGCGTGGAAATGGGTCGCGTTTCTATCGTTTTTCCATCTCTTTCGAGTAACGATCAATACCTACTTACAAATTAACAGTTTTTTTTTTTTTTTCTTTTTTTCCTGAGAGCAAAAAACACACAAATTGCGATATGAAACAATACATCATCCATACCCAGTCCTCATTTCATCCAGTCACACCTCGCAGAGCTTCTTTTCTCTCTGCCTATATACATCCATATAGTAAAAATATGCACATGTATATATTTATCGTATGCACACGCAGATGAGTTGATAATGTACCGCGCTACTGCTTGCACCCGCATACAGAAAGCGAAAGAGAGTGCGAGAGAGCCCGATTTGCATGTGGCGATTTATCAAACAACGCGCCAGCCATGTAATACACGCTGATAGCAGCATTAAGCCGCCGTTTATACCACGACTGCGGCTCACTTTTCTTTTTTTTTTTCCTTCGCTCAGCGTTGTTACAACATAGTACAGGTGCGTGCATGTATTAATATAGCCGGCGGTAAAACAGCCGCGCGGGACGCTCGAAATTTCGCGGCTCGCTTTTCTTCGATGTGTTTTTACGCCTATTATAATATGCACGCGGAAACAATATACATATAATATCTGGTACAGGTGTGTATGTCTCTATACTCTGCAATGCCCACCTTCGTTTTGCCACCCTTTTTTCGTACGTGCGTATATTATGTCCTATACACATACGTGCGCGAGCTCTCGGCAAAAAAGCACGCAGCTATATATATATATATTAGAGCGTTTACGCTCGTTAATCGGTGCGCGGCGCAATAATAATCACGCCGATTACGCAATGCGCGTTTATGTATATGAGTATAAGGCAGGCGCACGGAGCGAGCCGAGCTTACTAATAATCGAGACTCGAGCACGAACACGGGGATTATTAGCGTTTTTTGCTGTCCCGCTTATTTTTCGTTCTCGATCGGTCGAGGTGACGAGTTCTTGGGATACCCGCTTGTGAGTATATTTTCTTTCTCTCTCTCTCGGGTGTGTGTATTTTTTTCCTTCCTCCGTCTATACTTTTCCTACCTCTCTGATTGACGGATCGTTGATCGAGTGCTCGATTACCCGCGAACGGTAGTTCATGTTTTTTTTTTTTTTTTTGTTTTTTTTTTCTATCTATCGATGGATACAATCTTGTCTGTAAGTGTATCTGTACGTATGTAAATGCGTTAGAGAGTCGAGTTCCTGCGGAGGATGGCTGCTGGTTTTGTAAATAGGTCGACGGTCCGGCTACTGGGCAAACAGACGCACGACTCTACGGAGCTACACGAGAGAGATGATTCAACTCCGTACCGAGATAGTTATACCTATACGTATAAACTCTCTATGTGGCGTGTACCAACAACGACGCAGCAACATCTGGTGTAACTTTCTCGGAAGTAATGTATAGGTACACTTATGTATTTTTTTTTACATGAGTACAGAGTATACTTTTCAATGAATTCGATAAAGGATTCACGCGCAGGTTATTGGGTACAAAGTGATCGACGCGG